GGTCTCTATATGTCTTGGGTCTCTATATGTCTTGGGTCTCTATATGTCTTGGGTCTCTATATGTCTTGGGTCTCTATATGTCTTGGGTCTCTATCCATCTACTCCTGCTACACTTGCAGCAGAGGGGCCTGCCCTGGTTGGGTGCCCAGGTGACTCCAAAGACGTGTCACTTAAAGAACCAAAATACACCTTGGCTTTGCCCGGAGGCCGGATCTAACAGGCGGCGACGCCCAGGAGGCTCCTGGCTGTCTCCTTGGGCTTCACTATTTAGCAGTGTGGTGTGCGTCTAGAACGGCATCTCCAAAAGTGTGCTCAGTGGACCATGAGTAAGCACTGCTTAAAGGAATTCGATATACAGATGAGTTTGGGAAACAGGAGGTTAAACAAAAATCAAACAGGGCTGCGTGTTGCAAGACCTCTCCCCGCCCTGACACGCCGACGCATGCGCTGAGTTTCCAAGAGAGCAAATTCCTGATCAGTTCTGACGCTCTTTTTGGTGTGAAAGTGTCTTGTGGTCCTGAGCCAGACTCTGCACGCGTATGTGTTTGTGTGTGTGCGCGTATATGTGTGTGTGCGTGTGTATGTCTCTGTGTGTGCATGTGTGTGCGTGTGTATGTGTGTGTGCACGCATGTGTGCATGCGTGTGCATGCGTGTCTGCATGTATATGTGTGCGTGCGTGTCTGCACTTGCGCATGTGTTTCTGCATGTGTGTGCACGCGTGTGCATGTGTGTGTGCGTGCGTGTGCCTGAACGTATGTGTCTGCATGCGTGTGTGCTTGTGCGCATGTGTGCGTGCACGAGTATATGTGTGCGTGTGTGCGTGCGTGTGCATGTGTGTGCACGTGCACGCGCGTGCCTGAGCGTATGTGTTTGCATGTGCGTGTGTGCACGCCCCTGTGTGCTTGTGCACATGTGTGCGTGCACGCGTGTGGGCATGTGTGCGTGCATGTGTGTGCGCGCGTGTGCATGTGCGTGCGTGTGCCTGAGCGTATGTGTTTGCATGTGCGTGTGCACACGCCCGTGTGTGCTTGTGCGCATGTGTGCGTGCACGCGTGTGCTCATGTGTGCGTGCACGTGTGGGCGTGCATGTGTGTGCGCACGTGTGCATGTGCGTGCGTGTGCCTGAGCGTATGTGTTTGCATGTGTGTGTGCGTGCACGCGTGTGTGCGTGTGTGCGTGCACGTGTGTGCGCGCGTGTGCGATGTGGAGTGGGCAGTGGCGGGAAACATTCTCGGGACAGACCGGCCGATTCTCGATGTGCGTGTGGGAGCCAGAGCAAGGCCACTCCCGGGAGGAGGCCGGCCTCAGTGTCCCGGCCTGGCACCCCGACTTAAGAAAGCGGCAGCGACCGGGGACGCGGGTCGCGATGCGGGGCGAGGCCCCCCGGGCCTACGGGCGGACGGACTTGGACTCCCCGCTGTCCGCGCGCTCGGTGTGTCCCGGGGACCCCGCTGTGGCGCGCCGGGCCAGCCTCCCCTGCGGGCCGTCGCTCCCGGGCGTCACCTGGCGAGCCGGGCGGCGGCTTACCTTGTGCACGCAGCACCTGGCGTTCAGGAAGAACAGCTCCACCGTGCTCCTGTCCCTCAGGAACGCCACGCTCTCGATGTAGAACCTGCAAGAGAGTCCGGGCCGGCCTCAGCGCTGTCGCGGGGCCCGAGCGCGGTGACACGTCTGCACTGAGGCCCCACAGCACGCACAGTCCTGGAGAGCCGCTGAATGACTGCGCTTTACTCCCGTTTTTTTTTTTTGAGACAGAGTCTCACTCTGTTGCCCAGGCTAGAGTGAGTGCCGTGGCGTCAGCCTCGCTCACAGCAACCCTCCAACTCCTGGCTCAAGCGACCTCCTGCCTCCAGCCGTCCACCAGTAGCTGGACTGGTGGACAGGCACGCCCACCCGCATGTATGGATCCCACAGCTAATTTTTCCTGTATATATATATTTCATTTAGCTGGTCGATAATTTCCTTTCTTTCTATTTTTGGCAGGAGCGGGTCTCGGCTCTCTCCAGGCTGGTCTTCGAACTCCTGACCTCCGAGCGACTCCCTCGGCCTCCCCAGAGAGCCTTAGGATGAAGGCGAGACCACGCGCCCGGGCCATGTGCCTATTAATATTTAGTGGCCAGACTTGTGTGCCCGTTCTGTGACAGCTCAATTAATCTCGCGTTCTTGTCTCAAGAGCGGAGGCAACCGAGCCACAAACAGGTCAAGAAGGCCGGCACGCTCGTGCCCTGGGGCCTGAGTGTGTTGCCCACGGGGACGGCGCATTCCAAGGCTGGAGACCTAGGGACCTCCCGTGGGGAGTCGGCCCGTTCCTCGGGCTTGAGACCGTGCCTGCTCTTGGCGACACTTGGACATCTACAGAGATCCGGCTGTGGCCTCACTGTGGCTGCGTGGGGCAGGAATTAACGAATGATAAAAACTGAAGGGGGCCGGGCGCGTGGCCACGCTTGTTAATCCCTAGCCACTACTGGGAGCCGAGCGGAGTTGCTCAACGTCAGGAGTTCAAGAACCAGCCTGAACGATGACCTGAGGAGTCCGTCTCTATAAAGAAAAATTAATGCAACTAATATAGAGTAAACGAAATATATTAGCCGGCATGGTGGTGCATGCCTGTAGTCCCAGCTGACTGCGAGCTGAGGCAAGGAGGATCTACTTGAGCCCAGATCTGAGGTTGCTGTGAGCGAGGCTGATCCGCCCACGGCACCCCACTTGGAAGCCCGGGCCAACCCCCCAGAGCGAGACTCTGTCAAAAAACAAACAAAACAAGAAAAAACAAAAAAAAAAAAACTGATAGGGTTTCCAAAAGGTGCCAGTAAGGTTAGGGATCGCCAGTGCACGCCCAGGCGACTACGGCCTTGGCGTGACAGGTCTGACTGCTGAGAATCCGCCCACCAGGGGCCAGGCACCCTGGGCACCTCCTAGGACGCCGCTGGGAATGAAGAAATAAGACCGACAGAAGTGGGCCCCCCGCATTACGGATGCAAGGGACGACCAGGGGCTTTCCTCCTCCCGGGGTTTTGAGACCCAAAATAGAGCAGATACGAGCTGTCGAAGAACGAGCACACAAGTCTGGTCACCAAATAAATGGCGCTGGTTAGACGCTTGGAAGGCATCGTGCTGAGTAGCTGCTACACGGAAAAGTCTACACCTCGTGCATAAGGCTGTTTGCTATCTGCAGCTTAAAATTTTAATATAAATAACTGGAAACAGCCAAAGTGCTTTAATTGGACACTGGGCAGCTGAATTATGGAAGCACAAAGAAATGCATTGTTTATATAATCCAAGGAAAGATCTCCAAGTCAAAAAACAAACAAAAAAAAGTGTTTTGTTTTTTGTTTTTTTATTATTATTATTATTATTTTATTTTTTTTTTTTTGAGACAGAGTCTCGCTTTGTTGCCCAGGCTAGAGTGAGTGCCGTGGCGTCAGCCTCGCTCACAGCAACCTCAAACTCCTGGGCTCGAGCGATCCTCCTGCCTCAGCCTCCCGAGTAGCTGGGAGTGCATCACCATACCTGGCTAATCTTAAAGAAGAAAAAAAAAAAAGGTTTTTTTAGAACTTCTAAGTGACCAGACACCTTAACCCTATTTTTCTCGCAGAAGGGGAACAAAATGGGAGTAGAAGTGAAGGCTGAAGGAGGTGGACAGTGATCTTTACTCTTCAATGTACATGTTCATATAGTTTGAAATGTTTGCACTGGTAATCAATTCTCCGGGAAAAGGTGTATTTTATTTATGTTGCACCATTTTCCCTACATAAGACGAGATCGAAGCTTTGCTATTCTCTAACGCCTGCTTAATCACTAACATACGATTTATCCTTTGGCTTGGCAGTTGTGTTTTTCTTTCTCTCCATTTCCATAGACACAAACCCAGG